TGCTCAATGTAACAGAAATAGTGGTGTTCACAGTGTTCCCTACTTGCTTGTATGCATGTCAATAATCATCCCATATGCTCGATGCAGTGTACCATCAGTGATCAGTTTAGAGTAGAATAGGGTTCAAATTGTAGAAACGTTAAAGAAACTTTGATTCGTTTTTGTTTGCCAGTGTTATGGTGACTAACCTCAGAGCTGATGATCTGGATCTCGAGTGCTTTTAGTTATCAGTGAACCGTGAGTTGTGTTCTACAGTCCTCTGTTTGTCGGAATCAGTGGCATCTTGGTCGATTCAGCAAAAATAATCAGAATCGTCCAGAATTATCGATCCACGATTTCGCCCATTAGTCGACAATGAATCGCCTCTTAGTTTTTTTTCCTCGTTCACCTGTTTATCGTCTTCTGGCCTAGTGACCGTTTCCAGGTCACCGAACTGTGCCCTTGAGGAGAGCAGACCTCCGGTGGACAGACGGGTAATCTTGAATATTCTCACCAAGAAAATCTAACCACTCCTTGTATGTGGTCTATCCAAGAGGATGATCACAAGAGAAGGAATGACTTTCTATCAAAAGTGATTACTAGAAGGCTGGACATCCGATAGATCAGACTTAACAAATCGACTATATGTCCTCTCAAGCGCCACCGAGCTCCCGGTCCGGATGACCTTCCACCCACACTGTTCAAAGACGGCGGTGAAGTCCTCAGTCAGTGCATGTCCGGTCTGTTTGCTTGCATTTGGGAAAAGGAGTCTGTCCCAGACAACTGGGGAGAATCGGTGACAGTGCCCATTTTCAAGAAAGGGGCACGTAGTGAGTGTGGCAACCACAGGGGGATCAGCTTGACCCCGGTTCTAACGAGACTGTTGGCATCAATTGTGCTTTGTCGCCTTACGGTGGCTCGTGAGATACTGACCCGAGAGCAGCAAGCGGGATTCCGGCCTGGTAGGGGTTGTGTTTTGACCAAATCTTCACACTACGTTAGGTGCTAGAGCAACGCCATACGTATAAGCGACCCACAATTCTAGTATTCCTGGATTTCCGAGGCGCATTCGACTCGGTTGATAGGTCTGTTCTTCTTGAGACGCTTGCCCACCAAGGAATGCCCCAGAAGTTTGTAAACGTAATACGTTCTTTGTATTCTCAGACTTCCGGACGTGTGAGAGTGTACGGAGAGCTCTCCAAAAGCTTCCGCACACAAAGCGGTGTCCGTCATGGATGCTCACTTTCTCCATTCCGTGTCAACTTTGTGATCGATGAAATAATGAGACGAACGCTGGAGGGTCTCCAAAACCCTGGTGTTCAAATAGCCTGTGGAGAAAACCTTGTCGATCTGGAATATGCAGACGACATCGTTCTCCTGTTCGAAGAGGAGGAAACGGCGCAAGTATTCTTGGATGAACTGACCAAAGTCATCCCGTCTTTTGGTATGCACTTTGCACCCACAAAGTGTAAGGTCATGCTTGTGGACGTGCAGTCACTGAACACGCCACTTAC